CATTTCGTTTCAACAAAGTTGGTTATTTAATTAATAATTTACATTTTGCCATTAATGATGTCATTAATTCCTACAACTATTGGATTCTGTGAATTGTTTTTGTTGTTACATTCTCAAATCCCTATTTCAACTTGCATATCCGTTGACAAAAAAACCAAAAACTCTCATTTCCCCCTCACCACATCTCAAGCCACCTGATGTACTGTGATTCCTTGTCTCAGAGTTCAAATAATAGGTGTGACTACTTTGCTCCAACTGGGATTATTCTCATGAATAATTATTGTTTTCAACTGTACCAGGAGGGTATGGTTTCTGCAATAGTGCCAAAGTGCTTTAAATACTCTCCTGTCATGCAAGTATTCAAGCATTTGACTTAGACGATAGCCTTCCGATGTGTTTGTTCTTTCTTTGACAATCAGTTAAATTCACACAGGAAGTCAAAAATGACAAAACGAGCACAACAGAAACATACATGCATATTGCACCAGGACACTCAGACGGAGAAGCATTCCACCACAGCGCTCACCTTCTTTTCCTTCAGGTAGTATCCGATGGCGAAATTCCGGTCTCCCGACTCACGCTCTGACTGGAATCTAGGTCAGAGAGAAGACGGCCAATTAACAACAGTGACAAATTCCAGAGCAAGTCCTCTTCTTTCCATTCCTCTCTGTCACCTCCGAGTCACTGAGAATTTAATAAAGCATGCTAATTACCGCTGTTAATGTTAGTGGCAAAATTCTGGCTTTGTGCATGTACGTTTTAATTACATAGTTATACTCATTGATGGAGGACAATAATATCGAAACATGAGACAATGGATTATGCCAACTCCTGCCAAGAAATACCTAAACTGTCACCCTCAGTAGTCTTTTTCCAACTGTACTTACGTGGCGTTGCTGAAACTCACATACTCATTACCGGCCATTTTATTCATGAAGTTCATGACCTGCAAGAAAACAGGACCGATACTGAAAACCATTCGCAACTTAATCAAATCAAAACAGTTTCATTAAGGAATCACAGGCAGATTATAATATAACCTCTGTACTCACATAGTCAAACTTTTCAGCATTGCTTGCCCCTTGCTGCAAGACAAAAAAGCGAGAAGTATAAATGTCATGTTGTTAAGTTATAAAAAAGAATAACAGAGGCTATAAGCTAGATATCATGGGTGCATTTCTGCTCAGTGTTCAAAACCAATAAACACAAACATGTTTATCAGTATGTGCACTACAAAAAAAAAAACAATTTAATAAGCTGTGATGCAAATTCACAAACAGATAAACGACTGGAAAGGAGCTCAAACAATAAGTGAAATCTCAGAATGAATGAAGACTACTCTATGACCTCAAAAGAAAAACAATACTCAAAACGGAACAAAATAGTCTCTGCAGGTCATACAACAATTGGTATCGTTAGTTTTCTTATAACGAAGGAAAGTAGCTAAAATAAAATTATTCGATGCCCAGGCAACTTCTAATATACAAAAATCGTTGTTATGTGATAATCATTATATCCAAAAGCCATTTCTTTCTGCCTTTTAGCATTGAACCACCAAGACAGGTAATACAATAAGAGAACAACTACATCAAAAACTTTTTTATCAACTGAATGAAAAAGGAAGAAAAACAATACCTATTCATATTTGTAACTATGATATTGTGTGGATTGCTGAGTAGATATTTAGCCAGTATGCCACTTTGTGACTAAAAATTGCACTGAACTTGTTATAATATCATATGATAATCCGCCATGATTCATAATTCATGCACAGGCATGCTAATGTGTACTTCACATATAATAATTTCATTTTAAGCATGTGATAAGATATTGGTTATATCTTAAAGCCAACTTTTTAAAATGACAATCAAAATCATGTCATTTTGGTGATGGTGGCTGGTGGTTTATGGTAAGAGTTTATGTTTATGTCAACCCCTTCACACTACACAAAAAAAATAATGTAACATTTTTAAAGTATTAGTAGTGTTTCTCAACATAATCTAATACAATGCATCTACATATTAGTGTGGTTTCTGGAATGGTCTTTTTAGGGCTGAATAACCAGCATGAACAAGCTTTAAACAGAAATAGGCCTACGGTCCAAACAGTTCAGAATTGTATGTTAGTTACCAAATCCATACCCATACTGTAGACATACATGTACAGTAACATGTCATAAATGGAAATATAAACAATGACGTCAAAATTAGTCTGCAAAATAGTTTTAAATTCCAAAAATAATTGAAAGAAAAAAATTACCAACGTCACTGAACTGTTGCAGTTGTCAAAATATCCCATAGATCCTAATGCTGTAAAATATGTAACAACATATAAACCACAAAAAAGCCTTCAAAAATACATAATACAGTTCCAGATTTTTTATCCTGTTCTCTGTAAGGAGATGGGTTAGGAAGGAAAGACATCATGCTTTGCTTTCCCATAATTTCACCTTTTCTGAAAATATCACACACAGAGCTATGCTACAGCACTTATTTCTCTGAGGGGACATTTATTTACGCACAGTCAAACTGAGGTATTCTTCTTATTTCCTCCTTTTTGGTTTGGTTTTAAGAATGACAAACACAATTGTGTATCAGGTCAAAGATAAAAAAAAAGCCCAATTAAGCAACTCAACTCTTATTATGAAATCAGAGTACAAACACAATTCAAACATGGTATTTTCACTTTGATTGATTAAGCTGTGCACTTAAAGGGACATTTCACCAACTTTAGACAATAATTTCATTGTCTTCATAGGAAACAGAGGTTATTGTGTGAGAAAAGGTCTTTGTACATTCTACATTTCCAAAACAGGATATTTAAAAAATGACCTAGTTGCGATTAAGGGGCCATCTTTCAGCTCTCGAACTAAACACCGGACAAAGTGTCACCATCTTGCAGGTTGTAGGGAGAAACTCTATTTTCCCATTGCACTAATTTTCAACAGCATATTAAAAACATTTATCCTTTAATATTTAAAAACATTAAATCTTAGCTCAAATTAAAATTAAACACTCCAGACATTATATTGCAGCAGCTTTTCATTTTGGTACAATACACTTAAAAAGATACAGACCTTTTTTATTTCCCCAAAAAATGCAGTGATGTCACATAAAACGCCTATGACACACGCAGAGCTGGCTGCGAGAAACTTGAAATATTTTGGCTTGCTGGCCACAGTCGTGGACTTGACAGGCAGGAAAGCTTATTAAAGGGACACAGAATCTTCGTGCCTGTCTTGTGGGAAGTATACCAAGTGCTGCCAAATTCAATCACCACAGGACCATATGCACAGCAAATTTTACCATGGGGGTTTGGGTGAGGAGGAGGGGGGGACTGGGACCAGGCCATCTGTCATGTCATGGAAGAAACATAATATGCTGAATAGGGATTATTTTATGTTACATTTCACCTTACTTGGATACTATACATCCAAGAACTAAACTAAATACATTGATCAGAATCAGTTGGCACAAAAACTTATGTGGTGGTACTATAGTAGATCTCTGATGAAGCTGTGTACAGGACATTAAAAATACACCATGCTAGCTTTAATTAATAGTGTAATAGCGTAATTTATGTAAAAATGCTTTTCACAAAATCAAACCACTAGTCCCACCCTAAGGAAATGTGACTATTTTTTGTCTTTCAAGTGAACTAAATTGAATATCTGAACCCACTAGCATTGTCCCCAGAGGTTTTAGATGAAGGAAAGAAGGATGGATTACGACATTAGACAGACAGACTATTTCTGAGTCAAACTGGTGCTGTATGATACTCATACTCAGCCAATCAGCTGGCCACAGCACAGGGACCCGTTTCACGAAAGGCTTTCATGCTCAGTAAAAAAATAAATCCACTCCGCCCTGCTCTATGTTGATGTTTATCTGTATTAAATGTGACAAGCTTCAAAAGAAACATTCATACAATGCATTTTTTCCCCCACAATGTAGCATTTTGTCCCGTCGGCAAAGAACACAGTTGGGCCGCTCACTTGTGGTACAGAGCCCTTGGTTGTTATTGGTCAACAAAACCCCATGTGGACTGTGTTTAATTCAGACAAGTCCATATGCTGTAGCCATGCTGTGATTGTCATCAGCTGTGACTTTTACCCGAGATGAAATTAACACAACGACTACAGTAGGAATGGAGAGCTTACGAGTTTTGTAATGCGAGGATTACGATAAGCTTTTCTTTCACAATCTATTGGAGATGGGTGTGAAAACGACTGAAGACTAGTCAACACATTCCACAGCTTTAAAAGCATGTCTAGTGTGACACATACTTAAGCAGTTACACTGTGATGCAACTGTAAGATGGGAGTCTTATCTGACAAATTGCGGCGTACGCAGCGTAAGTGTCCTTTGAGGGTCTAGTCTTCACTGAGGCACCTACAATATGCATTTGGAGGTAAATCTGAGCAAAATCGTTCACCTAAAATGCCACACATCAAGAATGTACAATAGTGAGAGACAAGACAGTGCTACAAGAATGGTTATTTTTTTAATCTATCGCCACCACCCCCACCCCCTTATTAATGGACAGACAAAAAGTAAAAATATAATATAGACACATATTCTTCACATGTTCTCACAGTTCAGAGTTATTCTCATTTCATGTAATAGCTCCTTTTATGCTGAAGGCCAAATCAGGCTGTTTTAAATATACATCTAATGATACTACAATAAACATTGCATGGCACAGGTAATGTGCAGTCTGTGTTGGTTTTTCCTATTGAATGCAGCAGCAAAGCACTGCTATACTCAAATAGCTTTCTGCACTAACTGGTAGACAAGATCAGTGACAAAAGTCACTTCACTCATGACAGTCATTTAAAGAAATGTGTTGTACAGAATTCATCCAAAAGTAATAAGAAGTGATGATTGGCTTAAATCTGAGGTAGGTAATCCTGGCCCTAGAGTACCACGAAACATTTATGGTTCTCTCTGAGCCGCTATCCACATAATACTAGCAGTTGCAGGCCTTAATTAATGCAGGGAGAGTCTGTAGTCCAGTGGCTAAGATACATGACTAGTACCCCTGAGGTTGCTGGTTCAAGCCCCAGTCCAGCCACAGCAAGAACACCATTGCTGTTGGGCCCCTGAGCAAGGCCCCCAACCCCACATTGCCCCAGGGGGGATTGGCCCTTGGTTCGCCTGATCAACTGTAAGTCACTTTGGATAAAAGTGTCAGCTAAATAACTATAATATAACGAAATGTAGGGGAGTTCAAGGATGAGTCTCACCGCTCCAAATATTTAAGCTCAGACACTTAATAATAAACCTGTAATCCATAGCTCAGACATAACAAAAATCAGAAATGTCTCTGGCACCCCAGGATCAGGGCTACCTACCCATGGCCTGCTGTGGCACTCACCACTTTGTGTGCCCTCTGGTCTCCACCTACGACACTTCCCCTGGCATAAGTTCCATTACCCAAAATCCACAACCAATACAATCAAAGTATATTTTACCTTTAAGAGATAGATGCCATATGGCACCAGATCAATGTGATGAAAATATCCTTTACCTTTATGAGGGAGGTGCACACAATTGCACCAGCGTTCACCATTGGATTGTGGGGTTTATCTGCAGACAAAAAATGTAAAAAAGAAATGTGGGCCATCAAATTCTTTGCAGCATGTATATTTTAAACAAAAAACAATAAATTTACTAAGCATGAAATAAACCACCATGCTGAAGGATGAATCTATGATATTCTAATAGTGATGGTGTTTCAGAGATAAATTTGTGCTAGGGTTAGTCAGACCTCAGCCATAAAATACAAAGACTTTCTTTTGAATCTCTTTAAATGTTTTAGCTTTCATTACAGTCTTGGGTGCAAAAATGTTGAGCTATGCATTGCTTTTGTTTGCCCCATAAAATGGATATACAAGTCACAGCTATGAGGTGTGAAAGTGGTTCAGGAAGAGAGAGGCGGGGACACGACAGTCTTGAGAGAGTGCACCAACCCAGAGAGAGTGTACCAGCCCAGAGAATGCGCACTGTCTCTGGGCTGGTACACTGTCTCTGGGGTTGGTGCATTCTCTCTGGGTTGGTGCGCAAAGAAGTTTCTGTTGGCCTGCGGCTGCGAATTCGCTACTTAAAATTCACCAAAGTTGAACTCCACGCAAAGCGAAGATGCGAATTTGCTTTGCCACCAGAAGCGAATGTTTCATTTGCCCCTTTGCTCACACAGAACGGAACGGGAGGCGAATATTCGCCAATATTAATTTCGCGCATGTGTGACCGTGTCCTAAATCAGACATCAACGTAGAAAACATCCTTGGGCAAAAATAGGGGAATGTTTGCTTCACAGGCTTGAACCCTGACATCTTATGTCTTACAATCTAAGTGCTGCATCTCACTCCGTGTTGGCAAGAACAGGACAGTGCTGTGGAAAACGTTATGTGCTATGTTTGCATGCTTTAACTTGAGTAACCAAAGAAGTATTCATGGAACCACAGCACTTCCTGTCATCGCCTAATCTTTTTATATAACAACAAAATGGGAAAAAAACTGAACAAAACACATTTGCCTCGACAAGGTTGTCAGAATCCATTACATAACATGACAGAAGGACAGAGCAGATTACTGCAAGGGCAAAACCTGCAATCTACAACTACACCTACAAATAGAGATTATTTCTGTGACTCACACATCTGAGATTATATGAACTGTAAGAATGTTAACTCTTGCATTTTTGTTGTCAAAATTGAATACAAATTTGTGATAGTCCAACAGAGTGGACAACATCTCATCCACAGAGTTTTTGAATTAATATCCTGTATTTTTGTTTATTATCACACAATAATTGTAGGTCCTTTTGTTTATTGAAGTTCAAAATACTGTGATATTTTATGGTATAAAAACAAGTTCTTACAGAGACAAGGGCCAGGCTAAAATTTGAGTTTAGTTCTCTTCCAATAATTTCACAATTAAGAGAACGACTAAAATTTGCTACTTAAATTCAAGTTAAATGGATGTAAGTAAACACATAGTACTGCCATGGTGGTGGAAATAAAACTGAAGTGAGTTAGCTGAATTCTGTACCAAAGCGCCCTCAAAAAGTATGCTCGTTAGTCTGTGAATTTATATCCTGCTTGTTCTTGTGTTTGTTGTGAGTTTGCGTCAGTGATTTCTCCAGTGTGCGCTACAAGCCTTTTTCCTCTGTCTCTTCTGCCTGCCTGTTGTGGTTTCCATTGAGTGATTTTTTGGATTTTGATTTTGCCTTATTGCCATGTTTAACTGGTCATTTGATTTTGCCTGCCTGATTCTTGAATTTGCCTTGTGGACTGTTATTTGGTACTTCTGCCGTGTCTTCCTGGTTTTGACCTCTGTCTGGCTTTGACCTTGATTTTTGTATTTTTGTACTTCTTAATAAACCTTGGTTTATTATTATTCTCTGTCTGTACCTTTTCCTTTTCCAAGTCCTGAAAAATAGTACATAGCCCATATGACTTTCAAAATATTTCCCAATATGTGTACATGGATTCTGCATGGTACAGTGTATTCTTACTGGTTTTTATATTCAATACATCTGAACCTTACATTTGATAAATCAAAACTGTGGGGACTGTAATGTTGGTGGGGAAAAAAATCCCACCATCAGCCCAGACAGTTTTTAGGCCAACTTCCTGGATTTTCAGTCCCTATCAGCATTATGTTACTGGAATCCGGATTAAATTTAACTCTTCTTTTGTCTGAACAGTTTATGCCCTTAAAAAGACCAGGTGCATCTTATTAAATCCCTGCATTGGTAATCTGCATGTTCTAGATAAAGAACAAATTCAGAAACTAGAATATGAAAACATTCCCAATGATTGTCCATTAAATTAAAACTGTCTAAAATGTCACAATACTTCACAGTACTGAAACATTTTTCATACAGCACTGATTTATGGACATGGACAAGACAAAAAACTAAAATATTCACACAGTACTATACTGCGCATATGCTACAAACTACTGTAGCTGGAAATGTTGGCAGAAAAATAATTCAAATGAAAAAAAGAATTTGAAGCGTTTATAGAGAAGGCAGCTTCAACATTTTTTAAATCAGACAGTAAAGCCGGAAAACCAAAAATGAAATAATGTAAAAACCCCAGGGGGAATGACCAGCGGCCATTAGAGACTAATCCTCACCATCCTCATTCAGGAACAGTTTGTTGAATCGTAAGCCGCTGGGCTCCTTTCCAATGAACCTGTGCACGTACTCTGTGCCGTGGTCATGCACAGCGATGGCATACTTCAGAGGCTTAACACATGACTGCAGGCAGAATGGGACTTTGGTGTCACCAACGGTGTGCCTGCCAACAGGAAGAAAACCACTGTCAAAATGTTTTTCGTAGTTAAAAAAGGCAAAAAGATACAAATGAAATTGTGTTACTTAAGTTGCAGATAATGCTCCTCTGTTGAGAGTCCAGTACTCTATGCCAGACACTGAGAACACTAAATTATTGTTGCGTCTACAAAAACAGACAGAAGTTTTTTTTATTAGACTGCTGTGGTTTGTCACATGACTGTGGCAGTTTAATGACAAAAACTCTCAACTGAACACGCCATGCTCCATGTTACAACACTGCAGTTATATAAAACTGACCCACAAAGGATGTCAACAGTAACTGCCACATGCTATGATGTTAGCGTCGTAACAAATGTTGCAGGGACAAAAAGGTTGGTGTACGTTTGCGTATTTTAGACTGGGGGAGGGGTAGTAGTTTGATATAAGATAAGGGCAGACCTCCGACACACCAGCTGATTATCATTAAAAGAATAGAGAAGGCAGATAGAATAATTAAATTATTAAATAAGGTAAATTAGCTAGCTATCTACTCTGTGTTGATATAAGAGCTTGAATACACATTGATTGGTTGTAGATTTAATTAACTTCCGTCACCTTCACTGAGACGATGTTGATAATCTGAAGTTCAATATTGAGCATTGATTGCCGACCCTGATTCTGGATTAAACCTGGAAATGCTGCTTTTTTATTACAACGTTAAGTGTAGTACCTGAAGTATAAAAAGCTGTTTGTTGTATTTAAATAGACACTCATACTTTCAGTTAGGTAATGAGTTATCCTCTTATCGACACATTGCAACAGAAGAGATACGTATTCATCTTACAAAGAAGGACTTCGAATCAGATAAGCTATTGATTTTTAGTGTGTGCTTTGGCAAATACTTCCTTACAACGATATATTCTAATAATTAAAGCTCTTTACTCTCTTTCTAAATCCGTTTCCTCTCAGCTCAGTTTACCTCTGTCCATCCACTGTACACAGGGACACTGCCCATAGGTCAGGGCTGAATTTGGCAAGCTGGGGAATATAGTCAGCGACCTGAGAAAAAGACCAGAAAAATCACAGCGTTAACGCCACCAAATCCTCATTCAGAATGCAACACTGAGCAGACTGCTTTCTACACACCTGTCCTCCAGACAGCTTTTTGGCACTCTCGTACAGCTCATCAATGTGGGAGGCAAAGGACAGGAAGTCTGGAACCACAAACTTTTTCCGGAACGCCTGGGTCAACAGCACGATGTTGCTCTGGACACACCTGCAGCAAGACAGGACATAGGTGAAGAGTATGGCCATGCACTTCTAGACACCTGCCAATAGGGGGCGTGACATGCACAACTGCAAGGTCATGAAGAGGAACTAGAAGAGCCAAAGTAATCCTGATCTCCACAGGACCATATTGGTTTAGATTACGGAAAGTGTCTACTAAATAGAAGTCAAAGAATGTTGAATCAGGAAAAGTGGTTTAAAGTCATACATGGACAAAAAATCCATGTAAGGAATATCATTTTGACAAATAAATACTACACTAAAAATCAACAAGATGGGTCACAATAATTAGTTCACCTAAACACTGGTTGTACAAAGCTGTTTTATTAGGCCAGCTAGAATGCAAAATAGCAGGATACAATTAAAAAAATAAACTAACAAACATATTTGAATAAAACATATCATTCAAATAAAACATGCTTTAGAATAAATGAACCTCTGACATGACATGACAAGTCACACGACAGCTAACTTACAATAAAACCTTGACTAAAAGACCAGAATT